GTCCTAGACCGTCGATTTTCGCTGTCTCCCGCGTGGTCGGCGTCGACGTATCCGAGTAGTCGTACGGACGGTGTTGTTGCCTTGCTGTAGGTGAGCCCGATCGTCGGCGTGGAGACGAAGTAGAGTAGCGCTCGATTGAGTTCTTCGAGATCTTCCTGTTGCGGCTGCTTCAGATGTGTCGCCAGCTGACTCGCACTATAGGATAGGTCGGGTCGGCAGGTTACTGCTGCGAATAGTAGGCAGCCGAGCTTCTGTTGATACTCCTGGATTTGTTTCGCGGGGAGTTTTGTAGAGGCGCTGCTGTTGTTCCCGTAGCGGTAGGGAGTTGGGACCGCAGTCGGTGTTAGACCGAATTTCTTCGCGACGGTGCTTGAGTACTTTCCAGCGTGTAGGTAGAACGCCGTGTCGTCTTCGACGACGTTCAGTCCTAGGTACTGCGTAACTTCGTCGGACACCGTGAGAGTTAAATCTTCTTTCAGCTCCCCTTCGAACCAGGTGGCGATGTCGGTAGTGGAGCCGATGTAGAGCAGGTCGTCGACGTAGACGATGAGCAGAACATACTCTCTTCCCTTCTGCAGTCGGTACATCCCTTGGTCATGCGGCAGCTGTTGGAAGCCGATTTTTTACGAGACGGCTGTGAAGATGCTGCTGCCAGAGCCGCGGGGCTTGCTTGATCCCGTATAGGGATTTTGTCAGTCGGCATATTTTCGTGGGGTCGTCGATGAATCCGTGGGGTTGTTCGACGAAGATCTCAGCGTCCACAGGTGCGTATAGGAACGCATTCGCGACATCGATTTGGCGTAGTGGTAGTGTTTTTGTGGCCGCGACGGCGAGTAGGATGCGTAATGAGGTGTGACGGGAGACTGGAGCGAAGGTTTCTGTGTAGTCGGTTCCGTATCGTTGATCGAAGCCTCGTACGACCCATCGAGCTTTGAATCGTTCGATGGAGCCGTCTGAGTTGGTCTTGATGCGGTACACCCATTTCCCCGAGAGAACGTTCTTCCCGTTGATGCTCGTTGCAGGTACCAGTTTCCATGTTTCTCGGTCTTGCAGAGCTTTTAACTCCTTTTCCATCGCTTCTTTCCATTTTGCCTTATGTTCCCCCCCCAGAGCCTGCGACAAGGTTGAAGGCTCACGCGTAGAAGGCGGCGGCGGATGCTGGACGGAGACCCAGAGGCCTAGAATCTGGAGTCCCGTGGGTGTGTGTCGAGGGGAATTGTCATTCCCGGAATAAGCGGCTTCGTCACCGTCTTCGGGGTCAGGTAAGAAATTGGGGCCGATGCGTTCCGAAATATTCGTGTCGACGGGGTGCGGTGTAGCGTAACCTTGGTCGGCGAAGTGGTAAAAGGTGTCGAGGTTGTTGCTATCGAGGGGATTATCTTCATCGAGTGGAACAGGTACGGAACAGAATGGGAGTGGCCCGACAGCTTCCGAGGCTCCAGGTACGTCTTCTTCTGCTGCGTCAGCCTCGGCAGCATGGTCAGCGAAGGAGCGAAGGCCCGCGAAGCCGTCGGTGGGGTCGTCTGAGTTGGCAATGTTGTCCAGGTAATGCTGCAGCGTCAGTCGCTCGTAGAAGATAACATCACGTGATGCCACCGTATTTTTGTCTTGTATGTCGAGAATCTTCCACGCGTGAAAATGTTTGGCGATGCCGAGGTGTAGTCCCCACCGAGCTCGTTGAGTGAAGCGTCCTGCTCGAGCTGTGTGGGGTCTGTATTGTACCATGCAGCCGAAAACTCGAAGTAATTTTGTGCTGCCCCTTTTTCCCGTCCACAGCAGGTGTGGTGATGCGTTGTTGGGGAGCGATGACGAGGACAACAGGTTGTGCAGGTGGACTGCATGTGTCATCGCGTCTGGCCACAGTGCGTTGGGCAGCCTCATCCCCAGAAGCAGTTTTCGCATCGTCGTCTGCAAGGTCCGGTTCATGCGTTCTGCTACCCCCTGCTGCTGGTGAGCATAGGGCAGAGACACCAGGCGTCGGATTCCCCTTTCCGCGAGATAGGTCCTGAAGCGTTGTGACTGGTATTCCAGTGCACCGTCTGACTGGAAACTCTTGAGTTTGGTTCCTGACTCTCGTTCGGCGATTGGAAGCCATGTGGTGAATGCCTCGAAGGCTTGATCGCGCGTTTTGAGATTGAAGTGCCAGACGTATCTGGTTGCGGCGTCGATGAACGTGATGACGTAGTTGAAGTCGGCTTCGGTGTCGTCTCGAGGCATGTTTAGAATATCGCTGTAGACCTTTTCCATCGGAGCGTAAGTGGGTGCGCTTGGATTGTGATGGGCTGGGAATGGTTGATGAGGAAGATCTGCTTCGGGGCATGTGAAACACCGTGCGCGTGGTCGTCGGAGTTCCTGGCCGCTCGTCGTCAGAAGGGCGTTGCGTTCTAACACTTCTGCTTGGATTGTTTGAAGTATCGTGCTGTTTGCAGGATGTCCGAGACGTTGGTGCCAGATGTCGTCGGGAGCGCGGTGACCGGGCGAGCGGTGGTAGATGTCGGCGTTGGAGAAGAACGCGACGACCGAGGCGGGACTTCGACAAGCTTCTCGTGTGGCGGGCATAAGTTGGTCTGCTTCGGTTGGCTGTCCTCGTGTTGCTGGTGGTGGTACTCGGCTGGGTCCTGCTGCCGATACTGCAGGTGATGGTTTTGTTGGGACACATGCGGGTACTTGTCTTTCTTGTCTGATAACTGCTAATGCTCGTGTTCTTTCTGCTGCAGGTATGGTGTTGGAGTGCCAGAAGCCGTCGCTGTCGAAGTCGGGATCAAGATCCGGCGGATGAGTCCAGGCGGCGAAGGATACGATACCGTCGCTGTCGGCAGTACCGCGGTCGGGGACGAAGTCCAACACAAAGACGCCGGACTTCAGGAGGGCACGACCTATGAAGAGGCCGCCCTTCCCGTGGTAAAGCCGGAACTCGTTGGAGAAGGAGTCGCACTCCAGGTGAATCCCCTTGGCCATTAGTTGGCTTACGCTTAGTAGGTTGTATCCCAAGTTGTCGACGATGAGTACTTTGTTGAGCTGAAGTATTACGTTTGTCTCCATGGATTGTAACTGAACCACGCCTTGTCTGTTTGTCTTCAGGTTTTCGTTGTTGGCGACGGTGATGACGACGTCGCGGTTGAGCCGTTTCTCCTGTTGCACGAAGCGTCCCGAGGAGCACATGTGTTGACCGCAGCAGCTGTCCAAGAACCAGGTGTTTCGCCCGGTGGGTTCGGCGTTGGCGACTGCAGCGTATGTCGGGTTGACCTGAAGTCCTTGCGAGCGCGGCGGCGGGAATTCCTCTTCGTCTGGTGCGTAAGTGGGTGGTGAACCGGGTGCGCAGTTGTCGATGTGTACCATGCAGTTGATGATGTTGGGTGTTTGTTGTGCAGATGTTGAAGAGCGCCTTGGAGGACTTGCTTGAGTGGAAACGACTTGTGGGTCTGCTGCACGGTAAACGCGAGGGCGGTTGCAGTTGACTTTGGAGTGCCCGGAAGTCTGGCAGTTGTGGCAGAACGGCGGTACGATGGTGAGTCCTCGGTTGTCGCGTTGATCTTGCTTGCTGCGTCGGTTGTAGTTGTTGTCATTTCTTCTTTGAGTGTAGAAGACTAACTGCTGTTGCTTCCTTGGTTGTCTTTCCTCGAACAGATCCATCTCCTGTTGTTCAGCGTGAAGCTCGGCGCAGAGGTGCATCTCCGAAATTCTTCCGTGGGCTCGAAGAAGTGATCGTGTGGTTCTCCATTCTGGCCCGAGCCCGGCGAGGACAAGTGTCACGAAGCTTTCTTCAGTGATCGTTCCTCCGCACCGAAGCAGGCGGTCGCGGAGGGTCTGGCAGCGACTCATATACTGCATCGCCTTTTCCCCGGTCTTCATCTGTATTGTTGTCAGCTGTTGCATGAGTCTGCTTTGTGTCACGCTGTCGTTTGCTTGGTAAAGGCACTTGAGGTGGTGCCATGCGAGTTCCGCGGAGTTCCCATAACTCCGATATGTTCTGATGCTCTGCTGCTCTTGTGGTGACAGGTTCCGCAGAAGGACTGTATATGCCAGCAGCGACTGATACGTGAAGATCTCTTGCTCCTTTCCAGTGCCGTTGCTTGGAAATGGCAGGGACCCGTTGAAGTATCCCAGAAGATGCGCGGCTTCCATCAGCAGCTCGAACTCGAAGCTCCAGGTAAAGAAGTCATGTCCGTTGAACGGTGAGGATGTTTGTAGCTTGATGACGTGTGAGAATTGAGCCTGGAGACTGAGAATCTCGTTTGGTGTTTGTTGTGATGCAGCTGCTGTTGGTTGGGCGCGGGGCGGCATGAACTCGAATGTCCCCGGTGAAGAATGATAAGGCGCAAAGGTAGGCGCTTGGTTGTGTCGCCCGAAGGATGAGTTATCGAGGCTCATCGGCGCTAATCCCATATTCCCTCCATTGCTCTGTGTTGAGTGCGCAGGTGTCCTTGTCTGCTGTTGCTGGTCGAAGTGCGACATGAAGCTGAAGAATCTCTCCATGAGATTTGGGTCCACACTTGAAGAGGGAGACGGAGTCACCATCTCTGGTACTCTTCACGTTGTTTCTTGAGCAGTCCCGGTCTCTGTCTGCAGTCCTGAGGTGTGCAGACCAGAGTTGCCGTGTTGAGTTTCTTGGCCGCTGGGTGAGCCCGTAGAGACTTTCTTGCCCTTGTTGTCCATGTCTTGCAATCAATGAAGTCGTTGAATTGAGTTGAGTTGCAGGTTGTTGATAGAACGTAGTTGCTGGGAGTTTGGTCTCTGACCAGCTCTCATACCATGTTGGGCTGAGAAAAAGCCCTTAGGATCTTTTCAGAGAGTAAGTCCCAGCTGTGGAGACTTGAGACTTTGAGTAGTGCAGCGGAAGTTGAGACGGTTGAACCCTTGTACTAGTATGTGAGAACAAGTGATTGATTAAAGAAACAAGCATACAGCAATATATAGAAGATAAGAAAGCAGTTGTAGAATACAGTTACAGGAACGGTTTATCGAGTCGCACAGCGACTCGATTGCCGCTTCGGTTACCATCCGTGATGTTGTAACGGTCAGTCGCAACCTCCAGTTGCGACCTTTCGGGTCCTTTCGTATTCTTTGTCCGCCCCCTCGTGTAACCTCCGTTGACTCGCGTGCTCCCCTGTAATCTTCCTCGAGTACAGTGTTACACTTCAGAAACGCTTAAGTCCTTGAGATATTTCCAACAAGAGCGATGGAACGCAAATATGAAACGGGAGTATTCCGAAAAGTGATCCTGGGAACACGCTCTCAAGGTCGCGTGTGAGTCTGGGAGGTTGCCTGGGAAGAGGCTCGTAGGAACACGCTCTAAGATCCGTTGAAGGAGCTCTTGGAATTTACTCTGATGTTTGGTAGTACAACTATTTGAGCTTGGATACTCTGTCATGCAACCAGGAATATCATAGCATGAGGGAACCGTACATGGAAAATGAATGAATCACCTGTACATATAACACTGAATATAGACACGCCTCATGGCGACCGTATGGTCATGTGTCTGCTTCTTCACTGCCTCGTCTGCTCTGCGCTGCTGTGCACTGTTGCGATTATCCCCGCACTTGCAGCGCCTTCAGTGGTGGGTGCTGCGCATGTCTCGCTTGCAGATGGGGCACACTGCCCGGCGCCTCAGCCACTCGTCAATGCACTGCCACGCGCACACAAGGGAGAGAAGGTGGTCTCGAACGAGTGGTGGACAGAGGAGAGGCGTAAGATGAGGAGAACGGTCGGAAGGTGGACCAGAAGGGTTCATTCAAAAGCGAGAGTATTCTGAAAAGAAGGGAGGCAATTGGCGGAAATGGCATCAGCACACAAGAAGAAATGCAACAGACATGCGTAGAGTGATATTGGGTGGGGCGATGGCCAATTTATGTTTCCTGACAGAAGGCGTTGACTTCCGTTGACTCACATCACGGTAGGAGTTGACTTTGGTTGACTCACATCGTGGTGGAAGGAGTTGACTTGGGTTGACTCACATCGTGGTGGAAGGAGTTGACTTTGGTTGACTCACATCGCAGTGGAAGGAGTAGACTTGGGTTGACTCACATCGCGGTGGAAGGAGTTGACTTGGGTTGACTCACATCGCAGTCGAAGGAGTTGACTTGGGTTGACTCACATCGCGGTGGAAGGAGTGTGCGCAGGGCAGGCGGCGGAGCATCTCCCCCTCCGAGGGCACCTCGATGCAGATGGCACAGGGGTCCAGGTCGCTGTCCTGCGGCTGAGAGGGGGCAGAAAAGAGAGGAGAGGCGAAAAGGTGAGATGTGAGACAGACAAGACAAGCCATGGCACACGCGTCCACTTCGCTGTCCTGCGGCTGAGAGAGTGAGAGAGAGGAAACAGTGCGGTGTGAGACAAACAAGACGATTCACTGGCACAGTGGACCAGGTCCTTGTCCAGGGGCTGAGAGAACAAGGAGTGGCATGAGTGGCAGAAAAGAGCAAGGAGTGGCATGCGACAAGGCAGAGAGCTGGTTAGACAAGGGTTAATACCACCACTGTGGGGCTCACAGCGGGACGTGCAGACGATGCTGACACACAAGTCATGTACCAGCAAGCAGTGTTCGCGGCGAACAGCGGGAGATTTTGTGCTGAAGTACCCAGGACTACGCCACGCAGTAACAAGAGAGCAGAGTGGGTACCGTGACGGCAGCGGCGGGCAGGCGGTCGATCTCCTCGGGCGTGGCTCCCAGGCGCACCACGGGCGCCGATATCTCGTCCAGCGCCAGCAGCATCTCGTAGTCCGACCTGCCGCACGCAGCATGTGGCACACAATGGTTGGTATGGATCATATCACAAGACAAGACAGGGGATGCACAGGGATGGATGGAAGGGCAGTGGGGGAAGAGGGAGGAAGGGTAAGTTAGGGAGTGGCAGCATGGTTGACATGAGGTGGTGCAGTGCAGCTGCAACAAGGGGACTAAACCCGCAAGGCGCGGTTCAAGTGGTCGGACTAAACCATCTCATTTCGCTGGCACAACCTCCGCAATGCCAAATCAAATAAAAAAACGTGCCCAATCGGATTCTCAATAGTCACGCCAGCTCGTCCATTGAAGTCGCAACTGAACAAAGCTGAACCAACCTAATCAATCACACCGGAATCACAGCCACTCACTCGTTGAAGTCGCGGTCGATGGCGGCCAGGCGGAAGGCGAGGGGGAAGTTGCGTGCGAGGGCGGGGCGGTTGAACGGCGCAATGCGCTGAAAGGCCGCGTCCACCCCGCCCATGCCCGACTCCAGAGCTTGCCAGAGAGCCAGGCGCTGGAGGGGAGAAGGGGCGGTGAGGGGGAGGGGGAGGGGAAGGGGAGGGGGAGGGGTTAATTGGGAGCAAAAGAAAGTTGTCTCGTGCGCCAGTGCTTCCCATCGCCACTTGCCCACCATGCCTGTCGCCAACGCCTGCCCGAGCGCCAGGCGCTGGGGGGAGTGGGGCGGTGAGGGGGAGGGGTTAGTGGAAACCAGAAATAGGAGCAGTTGTCCGTGCCGGCCCTTTCCAGCGCCACCCTGCCTGTGCTCCACTCCCACGCCTGACACTGCGCCAGGCGCTGGGTGGTGGGGAGGGGGAGGAGGGGGGTCGGGAGAAGGGGCGGGGCGGGTTGGCTGGAAGAAAGAGTGGAGTCGCACTTTATGCCGCCACGCCACGCCACGCCACGCCACGCCACGCCACGCCAGGCCACGCCAGGCCAGGCCACGCCACGCCACGCCACACGGTCAATCAGTGCCCGCCTCCACCGCCTGCCGCAGTGCCACGCGCTGGGGGGGACGACAAGAAATCGTGGTGGCAGGTTGAATGGGCGGCGAAGGAAAGGAGAGGGTGGCGGTTCCAGTGCGTCCCCGTCACCACTTGGCCGGCCCATGCCCGGCTCCAACGCCTGCCACAGCGCCATGCGCTGGGGGGAAGGAGGGGAGAAGGGGCGGGGCGGGTTGGGTGGAGCGGGAAGTGGAGCGGTTACAGGGAGGATGAGAGGGGAAAGACGAAGGCTTGGCGAGTCGGTGGGGGGGGGGGGCACGAGCAACACGAGGCGGCAAGGGGTATCGAGTAATAGATCATGCGATGGATAGCAGCGGAAGTGAGAGGCGCAGAGGGGTGCATCCACACATAGCGATGTGGAAATAATGCTTGTGATGAAGGAGGAATGCTTGTGAAGGAGGAGGGATGGTTGTACAAGGAATTGCATTGCCCGTGGAGCGAGGAGGGCAGTGGGGACATGCATGGAGAAGCACCTTCAGCCAGCACGCAAGGCATGGAGCCGCCTCCGACACTGGACGGGTGCGAGGCGAGACAAATCTGAGCAAAAGCCGTGCTTGAGGGGGGTAAGATGTGAGGGAGGGTGGAGTGGAGGGATGAATGAAGGGGGGAAGGGGGGAAGGGGGGAAGGGGGGAAGGGGGGAAGGGGGGAAGGGGGGAAGGGGGGAAGGGGGGAAGGGGGGAAGGGGGGAAGGGGGGAAGGGGGGAAGGGGGGAAGGGGGGAGGGGGGAAGGGGGGAAGGGGGGAAGGGGGGAAGGGGGGAAGGGGGGAAGGGGGGAAGGGAAGGGGGGAAGGGGGGAAGTGAGCCGCACGTCGGAGATCATGTCAGCGGCAGAGCGGAAGGAGCGGCCAGCCCTGTCCCGCCTCCACGCGCCCACCATGTGCCGCCTCCTCTCCGCCTCCCCTCCCCGCCTGCTCCCTTCCGCGTCCCCTCCCATCCCAACCTCAGCAGCAGCAGCACCAGCAGCAGCAGCAGCTCCCGCACCTCCTGGCGCATCTTCACCCTCGTTATCCGCAGCAGCAGGCATGCCCCCCCCAGCAGGGGCAGGGGCACGGAGCGCGTGGCGCGTGGCTGCCTGGTCGCGCAGCATGAGGCGGGTGAGCGCTGAGAAGCGCTGCTGCAGCCGCGCCCGCCTCTCCTCCACTGTCTCCCGCCTCCTCGCCTCCACCCACTCCCCTCTCCCACCCACACCTGCTGCACCTCCCCCACCCACACCCTCCCCTGCAGCAGGCCCACCCGCACCTGCTGCCCCATCGCCTAGCAACACAGGATCGATAGGTGCTGCAGCCATACCACCTTCCTCAACCCCATCCTCGTTATTAGCAGCCCCATTACCACCTTCAGCCGCCACACGCTCCAGGCCCGTTTCCTCCACCACCCTCTCCACCGCCTGCCTCGCACGCCGCTCCACCGCCTCCCGAGCCTCCCTCAGCCGCCTCTCCAGCGCTTCCCGAGCCTCCCGTGCCCGCCGGTCCACCGCCTCCCGTTCCTGGCGCGCCCGAGCCTCCACCAGCAGCTGTGCCGCCCGGGCCCGAGCCTCCACAACATCCCGAGCCATCTGCGCCCTCTCCTCCACCATCCGCTGCAGCCGCCGCCGCCGCTCCCGCGCCTCCTCCTGCGCCAGCCCCCGCGCCGCTGTTGTGGCTGCTGCTGCGTCAGCACCTGCTGCTTCTGAGCGGTGAACAGCCGTGAGGGCAGCTGACGCCAGGGCGGGGTGAACACCTGCTGCTGCTGCTGCTGCTGCGCCTGGTTCCACTGCTGGTGCTTCTTCTGCTGCTTCTGCGTCCCCAGCATGTGCCACTGCTGCGTGGCTCACAGACACACCCAAAGAATCCAACGGTGCTCTCAGCTGCTCTCCTTCGACCCCTTGCCCATCACCCTCGCCTTGTGCCCCATCACCCACCCATCCACCCGCCCCGCCCTCCACTGCCCCCCCAGCTACCTCCCCGCTCGACTCATCAGCACCCCCTGCCCTCTCTGCTGCCCCCATCCCTTGCACGCTCCCCCACTCCCGCCACCTCCGCCACTCCTCCACTCCCCCTGCGCCCATCTCCCTCACACCCTCTCTCCACCGCGAACGCGCTGCTGCCAGCCCTCCTCCCTCCCCAACACCTCTCCCCTCCCCAGCACCGCTCCCCTCCCGCTCTCTTCTCCCTGGCACCTGCCAGCGGGCCAGATTCGTCACCGGAGGGGAGAGGGAGGAGGGCAGGAGGAGGGGGCTCCAGTGCGGGGCGAGGGGCAGATCCGCCGTGCTGTGAGGGGCAACGCCGTGGGGGTCATGCGCTGGCACGCCCTGGGGATTATGTGCTGACGTGGCAAGCGAGCCATGTGCTTGCGTATCATGAGCATCTGCAGCTGCCTCCCTCCCCGTTTGAAACAAGAACCCTCTCTCGCCGCTCTCCTCCCTCTCCTCGCCCCCTTCACCATCCCCACGCCCACCCCTACTGCCGATGCCCATCCCCTCATTCCGGCCAACATGGCGCCAGGCGTGCGGCAGCCTGTGGTGGGCAGAGAAGGATGGCAGCAGCACGGGCTGGGGCGAAGCGGAGGGCAGGGCGTGGGATGACGGAGGAGGTGCAGGGTGGGAGGGAGGTGCGGCATTGCGCTCACTGCCCTGCCCGCCTGCACCACTCCCCACAGCCCCAGGCCTGCTGTGCTCATCCCCATGCCCACGCCCACCCGCACTCACTCCCCTTGCGTGATCTCTCCCACCTGCCACACCCACCAATCGCCTGCCACCGCTCACCCCATCACTCCTCCCAGCTCTTGCCTCCCAGTCGCCACTCACCCTGCCCCTGCTCGCCCTGCTCGCCAGCCTCGCCTGCACCCTCACCGCAGCCCTGGCCCTCGCATCCTCCCCACCGCGCGTTGCTCCCCCGTGCCATGACCTGCCATGCCGTGACCTTCCGTGCCCTGCCCACGCCCCAGCAGCCTCAGGGGGCGCGCTGCTGCCGTCTGACTCCGCCATCTCTGCACTGCCCTGCCCCCTGCCGCCCCCCCTGCCCTCCCCTCTGCCCTCCCCAACCCCCTCGCCCTCAGCACCAACGCGAAGGTTCCCCTCCATTGCCCCTCCCTCCATTGCCCCTCGCTGCATGCCTTCCTGCCCTTCTCCTCCCCCTCCCACTGCTGACCTGCCCTGCCCATCCCCTGCCTCCTCGCCCCACTCAGCCACTCCGTACCCCAACCGCCCTTCGCCCCTCCCACCACCAACCACGCCGCCAGCACCTGCTGCCGCCGCTGATGGCTCCACTGCCACTGCTGGCGCTCCTGCAGCTCCTGCCAGCGCCGCTTCCATGGGCGCAGCAGCAGCAGCAGCAGCTGAAGCTTGGCGCAGAGTGAAGGCCCCCTGGGAGGCCCGAGGCACCGGCTGCTGCAGCTGCTGCCAGGACTCGACCTGTGCTGCAGTGCCAGCCGGGTGAGGGCTGACGCCAAGAGGGGGTGCCACAGCATGTGTGGCGGGAAGGGAGGTGGCAGGGGGAGGAGTGGAGGAGGGCGGGATGGCGGGAGCGAGGGCGGCAGGCCTCGTGCTGCCCACACTGCCGGAGTTGCCACCTGAGTCGCCGGCAGGCCTGATGGCAGCAGAGCGCGATGAGGGGCGTAGCGGCAGTCTGAGGGACGGGGGAAGAGAAGAGGGTGTTGTGAACAAGGCGGGCGAACGAGAGAGAGAGAGAGTGGGGACGGAAGGGAGAGATTGTGAGTGGGGGGAAGTGAGATGAAGAGAAGGGGAGAGACAAAGAGAAGGGAAAGAGATTGTGCCACCCCAACCGTTGTCCCATGTTATTAAATTACAACATACATCGCCTAGGATCATTACGTGGTGGGGTAACTCGGAAGAAGACAAACTGCCGCCCACCTTGCACGTGCCGGTGCTTGCAGGCGGCCCTCCCCCACGCGGGCGCGCATGCCCAGCGACCATGGTGAGTCCGCAGCCAAGCCCGCCGGCATGGCAGCGCTTGGAAGGGCCGTGGCAGCACGCCCACGAGGCTCAGAGCGCACGGGGACAGCTGAGGGAGCGGCAACAGCAGCAGGAGGAGCCGAAGCAGCAGGAGGAGCAGGAGAGAAGGAATGTGTGGTGGGAGGCGGGCGGGTGAGCAGTTGAGATGCGCGGGTGAATCCTCCCAGCTGTGCCATGCCCACAGACACAGCCGAGTCAGCAGGCGTGCCGAATGAAAACACACTGCCCGACCTCGCAATACTACCCCCCGCCCTCGCACCACGGCTGCCGGCAGCATTGCCAGGTGCATCCACCGCGCCCCACTGCCCCCTCGCGGGTCCTCCCACCAGGTGAGGACCGTGAGAATAGGGCGATTGGGGAGGAGAGGGGAGGTTGCGGAAGGAGGGCGAAGCAGGGGAAGCACGCTCTACTGGTGGAGAAGCCACCTCAGCCGCTGCAGGTGTGGAAACCACGTCTGTCGCCTCGTCCCTCTCCTCCCTCTCCTCCCTCTCCTGCCACGCGCCCAGACTCACAGCACCCATCCCAGGCACGCCCCCACCCTCTCCTTCCCCTCCGCCAGCAGCAGCCCCCGTAAGCCGCCCCACAGCCCCCCCCCCTTGCCCCCACCTCCGCCCCCCCCACCCCTGCCGCTGCCTGCCCTCATCAGCGCGCCCCCCAGTGAACCATGCGCCTCCCGCAGTGGGGTGCAGCCCTCCCTGCCCTTCCCCCGGCACGCCTTCCACACGCAGCGGCAGGTGGCTGACGCGGCCCACATCCCCCGTGGTGAGGTCGAACTCAAACGTGTCGTCCATGTGGTTGACAGCATCCACGTCATCCATGGCATCCAACTCATCCAACCCGTGCTCCGCACCCACCCCATGCTCCCCATCCGCCTCATCCGCCTCATGCCCTCCATCCACATCCTCCATATAAGCTTCCTCGCCTGCACCCCCTTCCAACAAGCCCATGCCCATCCCCAACCCACCATCCACCTCAACCATCTCAATCTCCTCATCTACCTCCTCATCCTCCTCCTCCTCTTCTCCCTCCACCTCCTCCTCCTCCGCCTCCTCCTCCTCCCCTCTCCCCTCCTCCTGCCTAAGCGCCTCTCCTCTCTCTCCACCTGACCCTGCACCTCCTTCCGTCACCTCAACTGCCTCCACATTTGCCCCCTCACCGCGCCTCTCACATGGATCCTCGGGCGTTTGTTCAGGTGCATGGTCAGGTGCTTGGTCAGGTGCTTGGTCAGGTGCTTGGTCAGGTGCTTGGTCAGGTGCAGGTGCAGTGGGCTGGGGTCTCAAAGGCTGTAGGCGGCGAGCAGGCTGTCTCTGCATGCGCGTGCATGGGGATGGGGTGGAGAGGGACGGTGGGAGCGAGGTCAGGCACGGAAGGAACGAGAAAATGCAGCAGAGGAAGAAATGCAAGACGGGGCATGTCAGACGGCGAACATCACATGACGCCCTTCAATGCCCTGTAGCGCGGGAGGAAGTGAGAAGGAGAGGGGGGAAGGGCGCACATCACATGGCCAGATGGCACGGGGGCAGGGCGAGGGGAGGCGGGCATGCAGCAGGTGAGCACGCACTGACCGGGAGGACGCCATCCACGCGCAGCAGCGCTCTGAACTCAGCCGCGTCCCGCAGCTCCTGCTGCACCTCCGCTGCACTCATGCCCGCCCCCATCCCATCCATGCCGCCCCCAGATACGCCTCCCCCAGCTGCACCCGCCCGCTGCTGCTGACTGCGCAGCGCTGCTGCTGCCGCCACTGTTTCCGCCACCGCCTCTCGCCTCAACCACCGCCCGTAGCTCCTTAGTGCTGACGTGGTCCGCCCTGCTGCTGCTGACGTGGCACGGTCTGCAGATGCGGCCATGCCTAGTCTTGCCAGGCGGGCGGCTTCCAAGGTCCGGCTGGATCCCGAGGGCATTGCAGCGGTGCTGGGGTGGCGCGCATGTGAGCCACCAGCACCACCAGAAGCACCGCCAGCACCACCGCTGCCACTGCCGCCACCAGTAGTTCTGCCAGCGGGTTCTCGCCCCTCCCCCTCTTCCCCCCTCTCCCCTTCCGCCACCATCCCCTGCTCACCCATCCTCGGCTCGCCCCTTCCACCCTCGCCCCCCCCTCCTCCGCCCCCAGCCTGCCCGCGCCCTGCTGCCTCGCCAGTGTGCCCTGCAGGCGAGCGCTGTTCAGGCGGAGCAGGAGCCGGATCTTCTGCATGCTGCGCGCTCTGCTCGCCCGGCCGCTGCCTGGGGTCATGCCTGGCTGGCTGGTGGCGGCGGCGGGGCTGTGCGCGGATGATGCGCGAGCGCAGGTGCTGCGTCTCCTCCGCCTGCAGCAGCATCGCCAGCTGGTAGTCCGTCGCCAGCCCACGGCCCTGGGGGAAGAAGGGGAGCAGGGAGACGGGAGCGGAGGGGCATGGGAGCAAGGGAGCAGGGGAGCAGAGGAGCAGGGGAGCAGGGGAGCAGGGGAGCAGGGGAGCAGGGGAGCAGGGGAGCAGGGGAGCAGGGGAGCAGGGGAGGGATGAGTCTCCTCCGCCTGCAGCAGCATCGCCAGCTGGTAGGTAGTTTGTGGCCAGGCCGCGACCCTGAGGGAAGAAGGGGAGCAGGGAGACGGGAGCGGAGGGGCACGGGCACAAGAGAGCAAGCGGGCAGGGGAGGGATAAGTCTCCTCCGCCAGCAGCAGCACCGCCAGCTGGAAGTCTGTGGCCAGGCCGCGACCCTGAGGGGGGGGGCAGCAGAGGGGAACGGAGAGACATGGGCGGAAGGGCTTGTAGATCCAGGGCGGATATTGCTGCCATGACTGGTGTAGCGGTGCGCACACGGGACGGCGTCACGGCGCACACGGTGAGACCGAGAGCACACAGTGAAGCACGACAGCACGAGCGCAGTCACACGGAGTTCACATGGCGTGCAAAGGGCACATGCGGACAAGGCAGTGCCCGCGGGTGGGGTGCCCTTACGAAGGGGATGGAGCTCTCCTCCTCGTACGCCCGCTGCAGCTCCCGCGCCAGCCGCTCGTCCTCCGCCAGCTGCGCCGCCCGCGCCACCTCCTCGTCCCCCCCCGTTCCCCCACCCCCCTCCCCTCCGCTCCCCCCCCCTGTCTCCGCCCGTGCACTGGCACCCGCTTGCACTTGCACGCGAGCAGGCTGGGCGGGTTGGGGAGCAGCGCCAGGGGTGCTGGCATCTGGCGGCGTGTCAACCGCTGGAGCGACAGCCCCTTGAGCAGGGCACGCTGTGCCGTGCGCAGCAGCAGCGCCAGTGACGCCAACCGCAGCAGCAGCAGCAGAAGCAGTGGAGGCAACAGTGGAAGCAGCAGCAGAGCCACTGCTGGCAGCGGCAGCAGCGTCACCAGCGGTCCCAGACATATGCCCAGCAGCGGTAGCCGTAGCGGTGGGAGGGCGGGGAGCAGCACCAGCAACAGGCGCGGAGGCGACGGCAGCCGAGCCACTACGGGCCACGGGACGGGCGCCAGAGCCCCCCGCGGCATGAGCGGCAGAGCCTCCTCCTTCCGCCGCCAGCCCGGCGCGCTCGTCGCACCCGGCAGCACCCGCCTGCGACGGAGCCGAGCCATCGCCGCCGCCGCTGCCCACGCCGACACTCGCCATGCTCGTCTCGCCTCTCACTCGCTTGCTCCGGCCGTCGCGGCACGCGCTCGGACCGCTCTCTGCCGGCCTTGAGCCTGCCGGCCTTGAGCCTATCGCCATGTCAGCCGTGGAGCCCGACGCTACGGGCAGCTCTGGTGCTCGCACACTCGCACACACTACCGTATGACCGCGAGCGACGTCGCCATAGAGGGACGCAGCGTCGCATGCACTAGTCTCGCCTGCTCTTGCTTCACCGCGAGTATCGCAGGATCCGGAGCGGGCTCGCTTCACGCCTCTCGCCGCCGCCTCGTCCATCGGACGCCCTCCCTGCCCCCCCGTCTCGACCTCCTCCCCCTCCTACGCGAATCCGCCTCCCTCCTCGCCTTACTCCGTTCGACCTTCCTCCTCCGCCGACGCCTCTCGGGCTGGCTACACGCCTATTCGCTCAAGCTCCAAGCAGTCGAAAAGCGCGGTGATCTCATGGGTAGACCGAAGAACTAAGTAACCGGCCTTCACGGCCTAAAACTACTAGCGATGGCGAGTTAGACTGCACTCCTGGACTGGTATGGCGTTACTTGGAAAGAAACTGAGTTGGGGGGAAACCCTCAGCAACTCTGGATGGTGGATGGATGGCATGACGTGGATGTCGAAAATGATCGCGTGGTGTCATATCGTTCATCTCGTGTTCGGGATGAGGGAAAATTGCTGCCGCGGACTGTCCACGAAACTTTTCATACTTTCGTGGACAGGCCCTACTTTCATGGACACCACATCAAACTTTCACATCTCCCGTGGACTCCGTCAATACTTTCGTGGACTCCAGGCTTACTTCCATGGACACACGCGAGTTTGAAACAAAAAAAATATACAGAACTGTACAGATGCTGACAGGAGAAAAAAAGCAATATTAGGCGTAATCAAGTCCCTCGCAAATAGTCGCAAGCTACAGTATTTTCAAGCCACCAAGTCCGCTAGCTGTTTCGCGTGTTTAAAGAAACTCTGAAGCGATCCTCAAAATTCATTTGAATGACTGTCACGAAGCGCTTTTAGTTGAACGATAAGTGTAGCAGACCGACCTGGTGAAATATCGCTACAATAAAATCACGTTGTAGAATAAAGATAGATATTACGCTTACAAGATTAATAGAGCTCATTAAAAATCTCTGCCTACCAAGAATCAGGAATACCATGAATTCTGGCATTTACAAATATTTCAACTAGTATTTGGCTTGCATTTTCAACTAAGATGTGAAATCTCAGAATACCAATAACGTTTGGTGAACATGACTATATAAATGGAAGGTTTCACGTCTTGATTGTATTATTATTAAACTTTCGGTATATAGTAAAATAATAATAGATGAGAAAATGATACAACTATTTTAGATTCACGTTTTTGGGAATATGTTTTTTATTTTTGAACGAGAAACATACTAATGCAAATTAAAACAAGTGATTCTAAAAATTATATTTCTTAGGTGTTTTTTTTCACAGAATTACTAATAATGAAATTATTTATTATGAAGGAGAAAACAACTGCTGGTTGATGCTGGCTCGTCAAGCACGTGCATATTATGTTTTGTTGGGTAGCTCTGAGCTGAATAATAAGTGTTTTTACCACGCGGACCCTAATACACCCTGTTTTTGAAAATTCACTGCATATTTGAGTGCGGCTGCAAACTCTTCCCAGAAAAGCTCCGAGATTCTGTTTCAGAACTGGTTTCCGACACTGTAGCTCGCGATTACTTGCGACGGACAGATATTCTGGAGTATCTCGATTTTTGTGCCCGTAATCACTTGTACATTGCTGAGTACTCCTTTTTAACTGCGAATATGGGTGTGTCCATGGAAGTAAGCCGGGAGTCCACGAAAGTATTGACGGAGTCCACAGGAGAAGCAAAACTTTGATGTGGTGTCCATGAAAGTAGGGCTTGTCCACGAAAGTATGAAAAGTTTCGTGGACAGTCCGCGGCAGAAATTTTCCCTCGGGATGATCTGCTCACGACACCCAGGTGTTGCCGCGGTTCGATCCTGGGTTAATAAATTGTAGTGCGTCTGATTGCGGTGCAGTAACTTGCTTTGCGTTTCAAAGGAACACGGAATAGTTGGGTAGGGTAGGGCGAAAACGCATTATTCGGACACACGCTGATCCCAGGACGGGCTCTTGCTGGCTGCATCCGAACAGCAGCCGTTCATTTTCGATAGCAGAAGTCGAGCCTGGACGAAACTACTGCGGGCAAAACTGTTTCACTTCAAACTGGGATGCGTTTGAGGCTTGTTGCAGCAAAAATCATTCTCATGAATTTTCCGGTGTACCATGCTTACATACACCTCAACATGGAAGCCCTTAACAAATTCTAGGACACACACCTAGCGTCACACAACGTTATGAAACAAGGTCATAACGTCGTCTTTATCATCGTGGTCTAGTGTCCAGGAAAGTTTGGTTGTAGCTCTTCACACCCAAATCTATAAGGAGAACAAACACTAGTGTTAAAAAAAGAGCTAGCTACGCATGGGAATGCTGCGAGGTTTTAGTCTTAAAGTTAGAATTGTTAACTAGAAAGAGAGAATACAGGGGTATAAAGCTATTGGGTTGTACTCTCTATGGCCTGACTCTATGTAGTCTACTAAACATACACACATATGTTTGACACACCCCCTAGACTAGATAGGGGCATTGACTGGTGCGAGACAAGCAGCTCAGGGAGGCATTACTAGTCCAACCTCTGAGGCAGGGGTCTGAAGACCAGTAAAAAGAGTACAAACAAGGCAAAAGCAAGACCAGGGCGGCACTACTAGTCCAGCCACTGGGAAGAGGCCACAAGGCCAGTCAGTATAATATATAAAGAGTTGTATACAATCAAGGTCATAACAAATGAGGTACTACAAGAATAAGACCAAGTTGTACGCAGTGCCGCTGATGATCTTTAGGCGCAAGCGCCTTCGTAAAGATACCAGCTGTGTTGGCACCGGAAGCTAAGTGTACTACGCGGGCCTGACGACGCAAAAGGAAGCGCGTCTCTGTCTGCAGTAGCAAAGGCCGGGTCGTCTACGTAGACAAGGATGTATAATGGAGTCTGGCCGGAACGGACGAAGAGTGAGGGGTGTGCAGATGACGGGAAGAACTGCAGGTCAGCAAGTGTAGCATGCATGGTGTCGTGCCACTCTCGGGGGGCCTAACGGACGTCGTAGACGGGGCGGCGGAGGACCCACTCGGTACCAAGGGGAAAGGTACCGGAGAAGCCCTGGGGGCGGCGCAGGTAGACCTGCTCGTGTAGACTGCCCTGGAGGAAAGCAGTAGAGAAGTTGAGGGAGTGGAGCTCGTAGTCACGCTGTGCTACTACGTGTAGCAGCGCCCGAAGAGTTTTCATCTTTGGGGTTGGGGTGAAGGTCTGAAAGAAGTCAGCAACAAGAGTTGACAAACTCAAGACAAGAACGGACGGATTGGTAACCAGAGAGGCAAGGACACGAGTAACAAGGGGATGCGCGTCACGGAGAAAGTCAGAGAACGGAGGTGGGGCCATGGCAAGCGACGACGAAGGAGGAGACGGAAGGAGCGGAGGGGCACGAGACGCGTGAGAGCGAAGCAACATAGGATGAGAACGCTAAACAAGCGAGGTAGGACGAGCACGAGACGGGCGACGAGAATACAGGAGTATAAAGCTATTGGGTTGTACTCTCTATAGCATTACCCTATATAGTTTACTAAACATACACACATATATTTGACATTTAGCTAGGGAGAAAAGTTGATGAGAGAAAAGAGAGTTGGACTAGAAGAGAGAGTGGTACAAAAAGGGTATTGTACCCTCTACAATAAGACCCAGAAAGGTAGAACACCTGCCGAACCTACACACACACATATATGTATATATAATATATATATAATTTGGCCCACCCCCTAGGCTTGGTAGTCGCAAGCCCACCCCACACGCAACACCCCCAAGCTCGTGGACCCCCATGTCCTGCAGCATGTGTGGCTTCTACCCCTCGTGCGAAGCAGTGACAACGGCGGCGGGTGGCAGCTGTAAGAAATTGAAAGATAGTGCGAGAGACTAAGTATAGAATCTGCAGACACAAGTACTTGAAGTAGAAAGTAATACTGAAAGTACCTCCAGTAGCAGCCAGTATTAACAAGTTGTAACACCAAAGTCAGTGTTGACCAGATTTTTCTCAAGAACAAGTTAATAATTGAAGTTATACAAGCTACACTTATATCTGCTAGAAGTACCTGTTCGGTAATGTACCTGTTCAAAACTATTTGCGATATGCGCTCTGATCACTACTGAGAGGAGCGCGACTGTTCGCGTGATTGAAACGGCCTGCTCACGTAACCATCCAGACGAGCGCTATTTGCTAACGTCATTCTACGGATGCTAACTACGGTGTAACTCGACAATATCTATCGGAACTACTTACATAAATGCTTAAGTACGATTTTATCACAACACTCCCCTTTATTTCAGGAAGTCCGATAGTATCACTTCTTGATAATTTTGCAGAGTTCGTTGTAGTACTGGAACTTTTGACGTGTCAGCTTCTTGGTGAAGAAATCTGCAGCCATTTCATTGGTCGAGTAGTAGACCAACCGCATTCTCCCCTTCTCAACTTCATCTTTGACGAAGAATTATCGTAGCGAATGTGTTTTGTCGTGTTGGCGAAACCGGGTTGGTGCGCAATTCTGATTGCACTTTGGTTGTCACACTGCAGAGTGAACTGTGTACTTGTCGTCGATTTCGCTTCCTCCAGTAGCTCTTATAGATAGAGACCTTCGCGAGTAGCTGTGCAAGCAGCTATGAACTCAACTTGAGCAGATGATAGAGCTACGAGCTCTTGCTTTGTAGAATTCCACGAGATAGTGCCGATAGGTTTGAGACGATAGATAAAGCCGTTATGAGTTTGTCGATTAGAGGTATCTGCTGCAGGGTCAGCATCGACGTACCCGTTGGGATATAGAGTTTTTGTAGTTGTGACTTGATATGTAAGTCCAACTTCAGGTGTCGAACTGAAATACTGAAGAGCGCGAAGAAGATCTAGTCGATTCCCCCCCTCAGGTCGACGCAGAAATTGCACGAGCTGGCTAGCGGCATAGGCGAGATCCGGACGACACATTACTGCTGCGAATAGAAGACAACCTAGCTACTGTTGATAAAGATGTATTTCAGTGTTGTCGAGTGGAGTTGTATCATGTTTGTGGTCAGTAGGTAGAGATCGGTAAGGTGTGGTTACAGTTGAAGGTGTGAGATTAAAGCGTGCGGCTAGTGTAGCTACGTACTTGGAAGCTGTGAGATGAATAGCAGTTGCTGTTTGGTTAATGTTAAGGCCGAGAAACTGTATAACTGTAGGGGTGATATTGATCTGTAGATGTTGTTGAAGTTTCTGTTCGAAGGCAGTAGCGAGGGAATTGGTGGTGCTGATGTAGAGTAAATAATCGACATAAGCGACGAGTAGGATGTAGTCAAGACCGTCGGTAAGAAGGTACATTCCTTGGTCGTGTGGTAACTGGCGAAATCCGGCAGATAATAGCTGACGGTGTAGATACTGCTTCCATAGTCGTGGAGCCTGTTCAATGCCGTAGAGAGACTTTTTGAGATGGCAGACGCTGGGAGGGTTAGTTTCGTAAGAATGCGGGTACTCAACCAAAATTAATGCGTCGACAGGTGCATATAGAAATGCATTGGCGACGTCAATTTGGCGAAGTCTGAAGTTCCGGTAGGCCGGGATACAAAGGAAGATGCGGACACTAGTGTGTCTGCCGACGGGAGCGAAAGTTAGCTCGTAGTTGAGTTCAAAAGTTTGCTTGAAGCCGCGGACGACCCATCATGCTTGATGTTTTCAAAAGAACCATCAGCGTTTGCCTTCACACAAGAAACCCATTTTCCGGCAAGAACCTTACTTCCCTTTGGTTTCCTTCAACGGAATTAGATCACAAGTACCTCTCTTTTCCAGAGCTGCTAACTCTCGGTCCATGGCTTCTCGCCATTTTTCCCTGTGTTGACTTGTCAAAGCTTGGCAACTATTTTCGGCTCGAGAATCTTACTGTTGTTTGACTGTACTGCGACTGCGGGTCCCAATACCTGTAATCCAGTTTATGTAAAACGAGGATGATTTGAGTTGACACCGGAGAAGTTGTGTTCTGACCCCTGTTCCCCCCCAACTTCTTTAGGTGTCACACGGATAGCTGCTTTCAGAGACAATGGGCATTGGCTACTGCTGACGATCACGTTCGTACGCAAGAAAAACATTGCGGACATATTCAGAGTCTGCTTCACTGAGTGGGATAAACTCGGCAGTTCCAGCTGACGTGGTTGGCACGGGGATGTCTGTGGCAGCTTCAGAAGACTCAGCAACGGATTCATCATGTACACCTGCTTCGGCTTCGTCGGTAGCGAAAGCATGCGAGCCTTCGAACAGCCTGGCAGGATTGGCAACTGCTGCCTGGTGAGCACGAAAAACAGGTAAGGTGAGTCGTTCGTAGAAAATACAATCACGTGCCAGTACAATTCGACTCGTGCGAAGATCCATAATTTTTGACGCGTAAAACTGCTTCTCGATGCCAAGATGAATTCCCCACTTCGCCTGTTCCGAAGATTTCTTGAGTGCTGCAGTCGGAGGTCGGAGTTGGATGATACATCCAAAAACTCTTAAAAGTTTTGTGTTGCCGACTGGTTTTGTCCACTGCACGTGTGGAGAAGAAAATTATGGAAGAGAAGTTGTCGACAACAAGTTGTGCAGAAAAACTGCATGGTCCAAAGTGTAAGTAAAAAAATGCGGTGGTAGTGCTGCCTGAGTCAGCAAGACCCTTGGCGCTTGATGCCTAGGGTTTGAAGATACTCATTGAAGGCTGTGTTCGTATACTCCACTGCGCCGTCACTCTGAAATTCTTGAAGCTTTTCCTTCGATTCTCTCTCAGCCACCGCGAGCCATTCGACGAAGATAGAGTGAGCCATATGGCGAGCCGAAATAT